GCATCATTTTGTGACACAGTAACTCAGCTTTGTGTTGTTGTTGTTGTTCATTCGTTCAGTCGTCTCCGACTCTTCGTGACCTCATGGACCAGCCTACGCCAGAGCTCCCTGTCGGCCGTCACCACCCCCAGCTCCTTCAAGGTCAGTCCAGTCACTTCAAGGATGCTATCCATCCATCTTGCCCTTGGTCGGCCCCTCTTCCTTTGCCTTCCACTTTCCCCAGCATAATTGTCTTCTCTAGGCTTTCCTGTCTCCTCATGATGTGGCCAAAGTACTTCAACTTTGTCTCTAGTATCTTTCCCTCCAGTGAGCAGTCGGGCTTTATTTCCTGGAGGATGGACTGGTTGGATCTTCTCGCAGTCCAAGGCACTCTCAGCACTTTCCTCCAACACCACAGTTCAAAAGCATCGATCTTCCTTCGCTCAGCCTTCCCTAAGGTCCAGCTCTCACATCCGTAGGTTACTACAGGGAATACCATGGCTTTGACTAGGCGGATCTTTGTTGCCAGTCTGATGTCTCTACTCTTCACTATTTTATCGAGACTGGACATTGCTCTCCTCCCAAGAAGTAAGCGTCTTCTGATTTCCTGGCTACAGTCTGCATCTGCAGTAATCTTTGCACCTAGAAATACACAGTCTGTCACGGCCTCCACGGTTTCTCCCTCTATTTTCCAGTTGTCAATCATTCTTGTTGCCATAATCTTGGTTTTTTTGACGTTTAGCTGCAACCCGGCTTTTGCGCTTTCTTCTTTCACCTTGATTAGAAGGCTCCTCAGCTCCTCCTCGCTTTCGGCCATCAGAGTGGTGTCATATGCATATCTGAGGTTGTTAATGTTTCTTCCAGCAATTTTCACCCCAGCTTTGCATTCATCCAGCCCCGCACATCGCATGATGTGTTCTGCATACAAGTTAAAAAGGTTGGGTGAGAGTATGCAGCCTTGCCGTACGCCTTTCCCAATCTTGAACCAGTCTGTTGTTCCGTGGTCAGTTCTGACTGTTGCTTCTTGGTCCTTGTACAGATTCCTCAGGAGAGAGACAAGGTGGCTTGGTATGCCCATCCCACCAAGAACTTGCCACAATTTATTATGATCCACACAGTCAAAGGCTTTAGAATAGTCAATGAAGCAGAAGTAGATGTTTTTCTGAAACTCCCTGCCTTTCTCCATTATCCAGCGGATATTGGCAATCTGGTCTCTCGTTCAGCTTTGTAGCAAACCAGAAATGAAACCACTCCCTTATAAGATATATGGATACATTACTTAAACTGTAATAATGAAAATGTATGGGAACATAGCTCATGAAAACATTTCAATTATATATATTTAAAATACATGATTTATTGCTTATTTTACAGTTTGGGCAAAACACCTAACATGTTGCAACACAATTTGCAAAGCTCTGTTTTAGAGCTGTTTGGACTAAAGCTGCTGTCTGAATGCCAGATGTTCACTCTGCTCTTCTTGTACATAGAAAAAGAAATGTTTTCTCAATATAAGTCCTGCTTAACTTGAAAAGAAATGAGCCTCAAACCCCATTGAGGGCAAACCTGTTGACATGAGGGAGAAGATGATACAGGTTGGACATCCTTTATCTGGAATTCTGAAATCCAAAATACTCCAAAATATACATGGGCGGCTGAGATGCTTTCTGATGTACACAAACATGGTACACTGCACAACATTATTAAAAAAATATTGTATACAATGACCTTCGGGCCATGTGTGTAAGGCATGTATGAAACACCAATGAATGTCATGTTTTGATTTGGATCAACTATATTGTATATTGCATTGCTTTTACCACTGTTCACTACTTTGAGATTCTTTAAGAAACATGGTATATTAATAATAATAATAATAATAACAAAATTCCAAGATATTTCATTGTGTACATGTAAGCAGTGTTGGATTGAGGACAAAATAGGTCATGTGCTAGTTAAGGCTCCTTCCACACAGCCATATAACCCAAAATATCAAGGCAGAAAATTCCACATTATCTGCTTTGAACTAGGTTATCTGAGTCCACACTGCCATACTGTATATTCCAGTTCAAAGCAGAAAATGTAGGATTTTATTCAGCTATGTGGAAGGGGCCCAAGTGATTAGTCTCCTTCTTGGGCCATGAAAGGGGTAGGCCTGATAGGCCTACAGGCCTGCTTTGTAGTACAGTCCCATAGACTATCAACTCTGTCATCATGTCTGCAATTGCTCTGAAACAGAACACTTTCAAATTTGGAACTGCACCACATACTGTAAAGAAAATCCATTGTGAAAAAATTATTTTGGCCATTATGAAAAAAATATTTTGGCAGGAAGATTAATGGGGCCCTGTGATTAAACATACCTAAGTACAATGGTAAATCAGGCACTGTATTAGGCAAGTGTTCCAAAATCCAGGAAAAAAATCCAAAAATTGTCCACATGGATGGCTGAGAGAATGACACCTTTGCTTTCAATGACTCAGGCTGGATTTGCACTGCTCTATACGCCAGGATTTGATCCCAAATGTTCTGGTTCTCCTACACAGCTCCCAATGCCATATCAGTGCAAAACCATAGAGTTCAACATAGCCAGCTCTGGCACTGTAGACTCATACAATCTAGTTCAAAGCAAATAATCTGGATCAGATCCTAGGTATAGAGTAATGTAGATCCGACATCATACTTCATACTTTAAATGTATGAAGTGAGTTTTATGCTATGTGGCGCAGCAGGTTAAAACCACTGATCTGCTGAACTTGCTGACCAAAAGGGCAGCGGTTTGAATCCAGGGAGCAGGGTGTGCTCCCACTGTTAGCCTCAGCTTCTGCCAACCTAGCAGTTTGAAAACATGCAAATGTGAGTAGATCAATAGGTACCGCTTCGGAGGGGAAGGTAACGGTGCTCCGTGCAGTCATGCTGGCCACATGACCTTGGAGGCGTCTATGGACAATACCAGCTCTTTGGCATTTGAAACACCAATGAATTTCACATCAGTAATTGATTTTATTGAATATATGCTTTTACCATGTTTTTACCTTTGTATTTGTATTTTAATGTTTGGGTTGTGCATTTACATGTTGTAAGCCACCTTGGGTCAGCTTGCAGAGAAAGGCCAGGTACAAATATTTTAAATAAATAGATTTAGATCGCCAATTTATCTTCTTCTGTAGGTACGAGTGTTCTCAAATCTGGTGTGTGTGTGGGGGGGGGGGGGCGTGGATTTGAAACTTAGTACATTGCACAACATTATAGAAAAACATGGTAAAAGGTAAAGGTTGCCCCTTGACATTAAGTCTAGTCAAGTCCAACTCTGAGGGGTAATCCTCATCTCCATTTTTAAGCCAAAGAGCCAGCCTTGTCCGTAGACACCTCCAAGGTCATGTGGCCAACATGACCGCATGGAGTGCCGTTACCTTCCTACCAAAGCACTACTTATTGATCTACTAACATTTGCATGTTTTCAAACTGCTAGGTTGGCAGAAGCTGGGCCTAACAGTGAGAGCTCACGCTGCTTCCTGGATTCGAACCACTGAACTTTTGATCACCAAATTCAGCAGCTCAAAACTTATTGCACCACTGGGGGCTCCTTATAAGGCATACAATCTGTAATAAACATGCTCTATGTTCTGCAATTAACAGAAATTATTGCATTTCCGGCATGACTGCATGAAGCACCATTACCTTCCTGCTGGAGTGGTACCTTTATTTAATTTGATGCTATTAGATGTTATTATTCATTGTATGTATTTAATTTTGCTTTATTGTAATTACTGGGCTTGACTTCAGGTTAGCTACCCCGAGTCCCATTGGGGAGATGGTGGTAGGGTATAAATAAAATGTATTATTATTATTATTAACAACCTTAATAAATGGGGCTACAAAGTGGAAAAGAGCAAACCACAGACCACCTACTACAATGCAACCTGAGCCCTGCCACATGCACAATGGAGGACCTCCTTATAGCAACACCAGAGGCACTCCAAGTGGCCAGCTACTGGTCAAAGGGCATTTAATTAATTACCAAGTCTGCAAACTTTGTGTTTTGTTTGTTTGTTTTTAATGCAATACAACTGTTTGGTTCGCTCCTGACACAATAAATAAATAAATAAATAATAATAATAATAATAATAATAACAACCTATTAATCTACTCTCATCTGCATGTTTTCAAACTGCTATGCTGGCAGAAGCTGGGGCTAATAGCGAGAGCTCACCCCATCCATGGATTCGAACCGTCAACCTTTTGGTCAGGAAATTCAGCAGCTTAGCTATTTAACCCGCTGCACCACCAGGGAACCCAAAACATGGTACCAAACAACTTTCTTTGCTGTGTGCCTAGGCCGCATAGGAAACACCAACAAATTCCATGTCTAGGTGTAGATCCCCAAGTCGTCTCAGTACACTTTTGGTTCCTGGGTCATAAATATCATTTCCTAATTGGTTCTATCATAAAAACATGGGGGGAAAGTGTATTAACCTGCAAAAAATGTTTTTGGGGAACATCCTGCGGCACGTTCTGTAATAGTTTTTCAATGAATATATCACTGAGCTTCAACCGATTCTATATAGTTGTCACCCACTAAAAAAAGAGAAGTTCTTGGAGTATAACAAGTCACTTTCAAAGGAAGTACGGCACAATTAAACAGGAAATAACACTTTCAAACCAGGCACAGAACTTTTTGCTCAATTTTTGTTGTTATGTAGAGCAAGCATGGGCCAACTTGGGCCTTCCAGGTGTTTTGGACTTCAACTCCCACAATTCCTAACAGCCTCAGGCCCTTTCCTTTTCCCCTCAACCGCGGCTGAGGGTGAAAAGGAAAGGGCCTGAGGCTGTTAGGAATGGTGGGAGTTGAAGTCCAAAACACCTGGAAGGCCCAAGTTGGCCCATACCTGCAAGATTTCTGGATGCTCGGCCTGTTGGGGAAGGAAAAGCACTCTGCACATGTTCAGAGGCACGCTTTGCAGGCGATCGCCTTGGGCAGACAATGTCCCTGGGAAGCCAGCCATCCCGCCGCTTCTCACCTCTGCTAGCGGCCCGTCGCGGGCAGGGCTCCGGGTCCCTCCAGGACAAGAGGCCCCTCTCTCGGTCTAGGGCGACCTCCCAGAGGCGCTGCCCCAGGACCAGCCGGGAGGAGAGGCGCTCCCGCCGGCCAGCCGGGGGGGTTCCCCCGCCCCTGGCGGGCGCGCTCCCTTCACAGGACCCGCGGCTGCTCATCCTGGGGCGGCATGGTCGGGGCCGGGCGGGCGGGCGGGCCCCGGGAGCCGGAGCGGTGGGCGGCCCAGCGGCAGCGCCCACAGAGCCCGTCCGGCTGCTGATGGGGATGGCTCCGAATCGGTTATCCTTCAGAATATTGCAGCTCCGCTCCCAGGGCGCATGCGCGAGGAAGGCTCCCCGCGCATGCGCCCTGGGAGCGGGGCTGCCAATTCAGGGTGTCTTCCTCCTCTGCCCTCCTCTCTGGCAAGAAGACACTGGGCACTTCTACACAGCTATATAACCCAGAATATCAAGGCAGATAATCCACAATGTCTGCTTTGAACTGGGTTATCTTGAGGGCCCTTCCAGACAGCCCTATAACCCAGAATATCAAGGCAGATCATCCATAATGTCTGCTTTGAACTGGGTTATCTGAGTGCCCTTCCAGACAGCCCTATATCCCAGAATATCGAGGCAAAAAAAAAAATCCCACATTGTCTGAGTGTGGCCTCAAATAACCCAGTTCAAAGCAGATATTGTGGGATTTTCTGCCTTGATATTCTGGGATATAGGGCTGTGTGGAAGAGCTCTGAGATAAGCCAAGGGCCCTTCCACACAGCCCTATATCCCAGAATATCAAGGCAGAAAATCCCACAATATATGTTTTGAACTGGGTTATCTGAGAGACCTTTCACACAGCCCTATATCCCAGAATATCAAGGCAGGAAATCCCACATTATCTGCTTTGAACTGGGTGATCTACAGGCCCTTCCACACAGCCCTATATCCCAGAATATCAAGGCAGACAATCCCACAATATCTTTTGAACTGGGTTATGTGAGTCCACACTCAGATAATGTGGGGGTTTTCTGCCTTGATATTCTGGGATATAGGGCTGTGTGGAAAGGTCCTCAGATAACTTAGGGCCCTTCCAACAGCCCTATATCCCAGAATATCAAGGCAGAAAATCCCACAATATATGTTTTGAACTGAGTCATCTGAGAGACCTTTTACACAGCCCTATATCCCAGAATATCAAGGCAGAAAATCCCACAATATATGTTTTGAACTCAGTCATCTGAGAGACCTTTTACACAGCCCTATATCCCAGAATATCACAGCCCTATATCCCAGAATATCAAGGCAGACAATCCCACAATATCTGGTTTGAACTGGGTTATGTGAGTCCACACTCAGATAATGTGGGGGTTTTCTGCCTTGATATTCTGGGATATAGGGCTGTGTGGAAAGGTCCTCAGATAACTTAGGGCCCTTCCAACAGCCCTATATCCCAGAATATCAAGGCAGAAAATCCCACAATATATGTTTTGAACTGAGTCATCTGAGAGACCTTTTACACAGCCCTATATCCCAGAATATCAAGGCAGAAAATCCCACAATATATGTTTTGAACTGGGTCATCTCAGGGTCCTTTCACACAATCCTATATCCCAAAATATCAAGGCAGAAAATCCCACAATATATGTTTTGAACTGGGTCATCTGAGAGGCCTTCCAGACAGCCCTATATCCCAGAATATCAAGGCAGAAAATCCCACATTATCTGCTTTGAACTGGGCCATCTGAGAGACCTTTCACACAGCCCTATATCCCAGAATATCAAGGCAGAAAATCCCACATTATCTGCTTTGAACTGGGTGATCCACGGGCCCTTCCACACAGCCCTATATCCCAGAATATCAAGGCAGACAATCCCACAATATCTGGTTTGAACTGGGTTATGTGAGTCCACACTCAGATAATGTGGGGTTTTCTGCCTTGCTATTCTGGGATATAGGGCTGTCCGGAAGGGCCCTATGTCCACACTGCCATATAATCCAGATCAATGTGGATTTTATACAGCTGTGCGGAAGGGGCCTTTGTTGCCGAGACCTTTCCCTCATTGGAGTACTACTGCATGGTTAAACTTGGGGCCCTTCCACACAGCCATATATCCCCAAATACCAAGGCAGATCACCCACAATATCTGCTTTGAACCGGGTTATCTGAGTCAACACTGTCATTTATTCCAGTTTAAAGCAGAAAATGTGAGAATTTATTCAGGTGTGTTGAAGGGGCCTCAGCTAACCTAGTGCCCTTCCAGACAGTCCCTATATTCCAGGATCTGATCCCAGGCTTTCTGTTTATCCCAGATTATCTGACAGTGTGGACTGGGGGCTCTTCCACACAGCCCTATATCCCAGAATATCAAGGCAGGAAATCCCACATTATCCAAGTGTGGACTCAGATAACCCAGTTCAAAGTAGATATTGTGGGATTTTCTGCCTTTATATTCTGGGATATAGGGCTGTGTGGAAGTGCCCTCATATAATCCTACTGGGATTACATGGGGTCAGATCCTGGGTTATAGGGCCTTTCTGGAAGGACCACCAGTTCAAATCAGATATTATGGATTATCTGACTTGATATTCTAGGGCCCCTTCCACACAGCTGAATAAAATGCCACATTTTCTGCTTTGAGTTGGAATATATGGCAGTGTGGACTCAGATACGACAGTTCAAAGCAGATATTGTGCAGGTTTCTGCCTTGATATTCTGGGTTATATGGCTGTGTGGAAAGGCCCAAAGGCCCCATCCACATCATGCAAGTTAAATCTGCAGCCCCATCTACATTGCACAATAAACTCCGGATAACTCCGGATTATTTGCTTTGAACTGGATTATATGGCAGTGTAGACTCATATAATCCAGTTCAAAGCAGATAATCTGGATTTTATCTTGCAGTGTAGATGGGGCCTGCATTACACCATGTAACACGATTTTGTTCTCTGGGTAATAAACGTCATTTTCCTAATTGGTTCTGTCATAACAATCATGGAAAAGTTTTGTTAAACTGCATATTGTGCAGTCTGCAGATTGAAGGGTTTAAAATGGCATTATTTTCATTAAGGAGAATTCCAAACTTCTGCGTTTTCAAGAAAAACAAGGATAAAAGGTAAAAAGGTAGTCCCCTTGATATCGAGCACTTTTGGGGGCCCTTCCTGAGGGGAGAGCCCAAGGACCACACCAAAGAGGGTCCTGGGTACCTTGGCGAGATTTTTCCGGAAGCCAATCCAAGAGCGCTAAAAGTTATTAAAATCAAATAATCTCACCAGGCGAAAGGAGTCCAGCGACTGAGGCGTTTATTTGCGATTCAGCTGAATGGATGCAATACAGGGATCATTCCACTGCAGAGCATGCAGCACAAGAGTTTACAGGCATTTTTATACATTGAAGAACAAAGAAAAGCAGTTTGAAAATCCCGCCCGCCCCCCTGTCAGCCGGCTTCATGCTGATTGGCTGAGGCTGGAACAGCTGGGAGGAGGTAATCCCGCCCTCCCCCGTCAGGAGCCAATGGGAGCGTTTCTCCGCCTTGGGAGGGCCAATGGGCGCCCTCCGCTCGCTTCCTAGGTCCTGGCCAATCAGGAGCCAGGAGGCGGGACAGCCATGGTCAATGGGGGGGAGAGATGATGGGATTTGGGATTTCCTGCCCGCTGGAATGCGGGCCATTGTCCCAGGTGATGTTTGTCAAACAAAGGCTTTCCTGTCCTTAATGGGTCTGGCAAGTGATATGAATAGCTGGGTCGAAATCGGACCGCCCGGAGGATCAACAATTCCTGAGTGGATCAATCAGTCTTTTATTCCAAGGCTCTGCTGACCCTGCCCTCCTTCGTTGGCCCTGCTCCGAAGACGAAATTGGGGGGCCAGCAGCATTGTCCATGCAAAATGAGTCAATCAAGGGTGATTTAGGGGAAAAAGGCTTGGGCTTTTTCCCCCAGGCAGTTCCTGGTCACGCTGGTCTTCTTTGTGGGGCAAGGGGACAAAGAGGAAAAGATGCAGTGGAGTTCATAGGGGTACATATTTCATATCCATAAAGTACAGGCATTTCATACACCACAACCCACCACCCATCCCAATCCCCATCCATAGGAAAGTATTTTATTTTATTTCATTTCATAAAAAAGGTAAAGAAAGTCTAGAAATCCCAAAAGCCTAGACGGAGGGTTTCCTGGAGGCAGGGGCCAGCCTATGGCTTAGGCTGGCCATCAGAAGATCAGTTCATTATTGAAACAGGAGCTGGAGCTAAGGGGGAGCTATGTTCCGCTGTCCTGTCCTTGGTGGAACTAGCGCTCCCAACCGGGGATCGGGCCTTCCCTGCCCGGTCCCCACTTCCAAGGCTTCTCCTGGGGCAATCGTGGCGGATCGCAGGCGGCGGGAACCATGCTGGAGCGAGGAGCGACGGGGGGAATGAAGCAAGCGGCAAAAGCCGGCGAATTTTGACAATCAGCTGGTGGCTCGGCCGAATTTTAATGATTAAACAAAAACAATTATTTCACGAGTGCAGGAGTCCAAAATGAGAAAACCAAGATAGCAGTTAGTCTTAGAATTTAATGTGGAAAACCTCCGTATCCGCGATTTGAACTAACGCAAATTCGGAGGCCTGGGGAGGCCAGGAAGGCGTCCCCAGTGAGCTCATGGTTCCCCGGAGCTCAGAAAAAGGTTTATTGTGAGTTAGAAAAGTTGCAGCCAGGAAAAGGACACAAAGTATCAAGCGGAAAGGATTCAAAGTTTCAAAACTTAAGTGTTTTAATGGGGGATTGGTTACAAAGAGAGGGAGAGGGGAAAGTGAAAGAAAGGCTTCATGCAGTCCTTTGCCTTGAGCTGCTGGCTGGGGCACATTTCATCAGTCGGACCCAACTTTGCTCCACGGAACTGCGGAACTCCCTGCCGCAGTGCAGACCAATTACATGGCGGGGGCTCTTGCCATCACCCTGACTTTAAGTCCAGTCATGTCTGACTCTGGGGTGTGGTGCTCATCTCCATTTCTAAGCCAAAGAGCCAGCGTTGTCCGTAGACACCTCCAAGGTCATGTGGCCGGCATGACTGCATGGAGCGCCGTTACCTTCCCGCCGGAGCGGTACCTATTGATCTACTCACATTTGCATGTTTTCGAACTGCTAGGTTGGCAGAAGCTAGGGCTGACATCGGAAGCTCACGCCGCTCCCCGGAATCGAACCTGCGACCTTTCGATCAACAAGCTCAGCAGCTCAGTGCTTTAACCCACTGAGCCACCGGGGGATACAAATTATCATTATATATCTAACCAACCCTATTTTTGAACCCAAATGCTACAAATGGGTAAAAAATAACCTAGTAATGTGTCGTTTTTGCGAGATATGCAAGGCTATGTCAGATCACTATCACAAATTAGTCACCAAATGTGGTCCCCCATCATGTTTTCATTGTCAGTTTCCCTGATAGCAGCCATTCAAATGGAAGGATGTTTTGATGAAAGTGCTGTCCTTGGTCCTCTGAACAGGCACCCTTGTTCTTTTTAAATCTGCTATGAAATAGCTAATCCATGTATTGTGAAAAAAAAAAAAAAGCTCTAAATTTACTCTTAGTCTGAAGTTCACTAGATATGTTTAAAATGCACATATATTGGGCCCCTGAATCTCCTGGAGTTTAGTTTGTGGACCATCTGTGGATGATCATGTACTGTGATATAAAGTGGTATAGTAACCAATGTATATTACACTATATAACAAAAATTGAAAAAAATTAAGTTCCTGGTTTGAAAGTATTATCTCCTGTTTAATTGTGCACAACTCACTTTAAGAGCAGTTGTTCTACTCCAGGAACTTCATTTTTGTGGCTGCCACAAACTATGTTGAATTGGTTGAGACTCTATGAGATATTCATTGAAAAACTATATTATTATTATGTTTATTTATATCCCACTTTTTCTCTCCATACAGAGACTCAAAGTGGCTTACAAGTAAAAGCATTTCAATACAACTTAAAATACACAAGTATACAAATATTAAAACAGTATTAAACAACATTAATATTAAAACAATCCAGATTAAAACCATAAAAGCACATAAAATCACATCACAAAGTCACAGCAGCCCTTGATGGTCTTAAACACCTTCATTTTTAAAAGCCCACCTAAATAAAAAGGTTTTAGCCTTCAACTGGAAGGACAGCAGGGAGGGGGCTATTCAGGCTTCTCCGGGCTGGAAGTTACAGAGTTGAGGGGCAGCCACTGAGAAGGCCCTCTCTCTCATTCCCACCAACTGAGCTTAAGATAGTCATAGGACTGAGAGAAGGGTCTCTCCTGAAAATCTCTGGGCTCGGGCAGATTCGTACAAGGAGACACGGGCAACCATGTTGTCTGGACCCAGGCCTTATAGGGCTTTAAAGGTCATAACCTGCACTTTGAATTGTGTCCAGTAACAGACTGGCAGCCAGTGAAGTTGCTGCAATGGGGGTGGGGGGTGGGGGTTGTCCGCTCCCTGTAGCCAGCCCTAGTTAGCAACCTGGCTGCAGCTCGTTGGACCAGCTGAAGTTTGTGAGCACTCTTCAGAGGCAGTCTCACATACAGCAGATTGTAGTAATCCAGACAGGATGTAACTAAGGCATGAACTACCATCACCAGATCTGGTTTCTCAAGGAACAGGCACAGTTGATGCATAAGTTTTAATTGTGCAAAGGCCCTCCTGGCCACCACAGACACCTGGGCCTCCAGGTTCAGTGTTCAGTCCAGAAGGACCCCCAAACTGTGGTTCTGTGTCTTCAGGGAAGAGTGTGATCCCATCCAGCACAGACTGGATTCCGATTCCCTGATCTGCCTTACGTCTGACCAGGAATACCTCTGTCTCATGTGGATTAAATTTCAATGTGTTTGCCCTCATCCAGTCCATTACTGATGACAGACACTAATTTAGGGTCAGGACAGCTTCCTTGGCATTAGGTGAAAAAGAGTAGTAGAGTTGGGTGTCTTCTGCATATATGTGGCACAGAACTCCAAAACTTCAAATGATCTCTCCTAGCAATTTCATTTATATGTTGAACAGCATGGGTGATAAAATGGAACCCCGAGGAATCCCACAGGACAATGGCTGGGGGTTTGAACAGGAGTCCCCTAGCAGCACCTTCTGGGTACTGCCCTCCAGGAAGAACTGGAGCCACTGTAAAACAGTGCCTCCAAGTCCCATACCAGTGAGAAGACCCAGAAGGATACCATGGTCAATGGTATTGAAAGCTGCTGAGAGATCTAGGAGAACCAACAGGGACACACGCCCTCTGTCTAGCTCTCTGTGGAAGTCATCCACCAAGGTGACCAAAGCTGTCATTGGGCCCTTCCACACAGCCATATAACCCTGAATATCAAGGCAGAAAATCCCACAATATCTGCTTTGAAGAGGGTTGTCTGAGTCCATACTGCCATATATTCCATTTCAAAGAAGATGCCAGTCTGCTACTGAGCACAATTCAAAAAGCTGGTTGTAGCCTATAAAGCCCTAAACAGTTCTGGCTCAGCTTACCTGTCTGAACGTATCTCCTCCTATGAACCATCATGGAGATTTAGATCTTCTGGGGAGGCTCTCCTCCTGGTCCCACCTCCTTCACAGGCGCATGTGATGGGAACAAGATAGGGCCTTTTCAGTGGTAGCCCCTCAGCTGCAAAACTGCCCCCTCAGTGATATTAGACTAGCTCCCTTCCTCCTGGTCTTCAGAAAGAAAGTGAAAATCAGGCTCTGGGATCAAGCCTTTGGAGATTAATCTATAGTGCAATAGTAGCCTCAAAATATGTGCAATTGATCTTTGGAATGGTCCCGGATTATTATTGAGAATTGTGTGATTTTAATACTGAAAAATGAATGGTTTATATGTTTTAATGTGCATTTATTTTTAATTTTTAAATTAAGTGTATTCTAAAAGTTTGTTGTCCAAATGCATTGAACAGCTGCCATATGTAAAGCCGCCTTGAGTCCCCTTGTAAAGAAAGGCGGGATACAAATAGAGTAAATAAATAAATAAATAAATAATGTGGGATGTTATTCAGATGCCTCTGATCCATTGCCAGGCCTGAAACCAGATTGAAATGGATCTAGAAAATCTGTCTTATTCAGAAATTCCTGGAGTTGGGAGCAAAATATCCTGCAGGATGTCCCGTAAAAACAAAGTTTGTGCAATTTAATAAACATTTTCCATGTTTTAATGTTAGAACCAATTAGGAAACAACATTTCTATCCCGGGAACAAAAATCGTGTTACATAATGTTATGCAAAGTGGCAAAATCAAAGATAATATCAAAAGTAGCCTGGTGATAGTACAATAGCTGGGTCCAGAAGCTCCGAGTGTTACGGAGATGCCACAAAGGCGGCTGTGAATAAGGGAAGAGAGGGGGCGGAGTGAGAGCGAGGAGAGCGAAAGAAGGATAGAAAGGAGGGGATGCTTAAGGTAAGGGTTAGGGCATGGTTTAAGGTTAGGGTTATGGTTAGGATAAAGGTTAGGGGTTACGGTTAGGGTACGGTTTAGGGTAAGGGGTTAGGCTTAGGCTTACGGTACGGTTCAGGGTTAGGGTTTCACCGTTAAAGAACTCTTACATTCCTTCTATATTATCTGTCTCCGGCCTGGCTTACATTAGCTAAGTCTCTCTTGCGCAAACAGCGCTCCCGAAGGAGCGATGCGGCATCTCTGTAACGCCTGGAGTTTCTGGACCCAGCTATCATACTATTACCAGTAGCATTTTAAGAATTTGGAGGGAATGTTTTCAAGTTGTGGGTAGTGGAATCCGTGTATGTAGAATCCGTGGATACGGAGGGCCGACTGTTCTTTGGACTGTCAAAAAGTAAAGGTGTCACTATCAGCGCCTATGTCGAAAATATCGGAATCCGGAGTCCTTTGGGTTTGTTTATAACAGCGATTCCCTAACTTTCCGCCTTTTGGACTCCATCTCCCATAATTCCTGACTGTTGGCCTCACTGGCCGGCGCTTCTGGGAGTTGAAGTCCAAAACTGTCTTAAGTGACACAGTCACGATGAAGCCTACTTCACCTTTAACTCGCCGGTCCTGATTGGGCCGCTTGTGGAATCCCTTCCGCAGTGTTCCGGTTTCCGATTGGCTGCAAGTCGCAGCCGAGTCTAGGCAGCCAATGGGGAGAGGGAGTGTTCGGGAGGTGCCAAGATGGCAGCGCGCTGCTCTCTGAGAGAGTGAAAGCAAGCCGAAGGGAGTCAATCCCTCCAAGTTCGGCCTCGGAGGGGAAGGAAGGGCGGCCTAGCTGCCTGAGGCGTCGGCCTCGTCGTCCTCCCCGCCCCGGACGGTGGCAGCTCCGCTTTGGGGAAGGAAGAGCGATGAAGTGATGGGAAGATGGCGAGCGAGAGCGGGAGGAAGCAGTTCTGGAAGCGGAATGCCTCCCGGGTACCGGGCAGGTAAGTGAGAGGAAAGGAAGGAAGTCACACTCTCTCCGCCTCAGAGGAGGCGATGGCAAACCTCTCCTGATCAATTCTTGCCAAGGAACCCTGTGGCAACGTCGTCATTCTCCAGAAATACCTCGAAGGCAGGCCATAACAAACAAGAAGGGTGTTTCTGTGCGTGACACTGGCTTCTGTTAAGACTGGAGTTGTTTTTATCTAAACTCCATCTGATCTTGGGGAACATTCTTAGTATGAACTCACAGTTGTGGCATTTAACATTCCTCAGGTTGAGTAAGGGTGGTTGGAAGCAGCTGGAAGGGTTGCTCATACTTTTGAAAGCGCTTCTTAACTTTTAACTGGCCTGATTTGATATGTACAGGTTGAACACTCCTTATCTCGACTCCCAGCATCACATAGGTGGCTGATAATCATTTTGCTTTCTGATGGTTCAGTGTACAAAATGATTGGAAATATTTTGTGATATTATCGATGAATTTAATCTTTAGACCCAGGCTCCATCTCCAAGATTTTCTTATTATAAACATGTATACAAATGCAAGTATTCCAAAAGCTAAAATAACTGATCCCACTTTGATAATGGTATAAATAGGTACAAAGTTCAATAAAGGGCAGTTTTTGCTGATCGTGTTTCTTTACTAGCCACTATTATTATTTGTGCGGGCTGTGGTGACACAGTGGATTAAACCACTAAGCTGCAGAACTTGCTGACTGGAAGGTAGGCAGTTTGAATTCGCAGGACAGGGTGAGCTTCCCGTTAGCCCCAGCGTCTACCAACCTAGTGGTTCGAAACATGCAAATGTGAGTAGAGTAATAGGTACCGCTTTGGCAGGAAGGTAACGTCACTCCATGCAGTCATGCCAGCCACATGACCTAGGAGGTGTCTACGGACAACGCCGGCCCTTTGGCTTAGAAATGGAGGTGTGCACCACCCCCAGAGTCAGACTCAACTAGACTTAATATCAAGGGGAAACCTTTACCCATGATTATTACTGAGATTAATTTTGTTATGAGTTAAAGAAAACCAGGTTGTGCTGTTGAAGGCTGTCATGGCCAGAATCACTTGGTTGCTTTGCGTTTTTTGGGCTGTATGGCCATGGTCCAGTAGCATTCTCTCCTGACAATTCACCAACATCTGTGGCTGACATCTTCAGCCTTCTAAACATGCTGGCCACAGATGCAGGTGAAATTTCAGGAGAGGGCATGCTACTGGAATATGGCCATACAGCCCGAAAAACTCACAGTAACCCATAATACAGGTTGCTTCAAAACGATGAACCCAATTTCAAAGCAGTATAATTCACCATGGCAACTGTTACAGTTACACAAGAAGTTACAAAGAATTTAATGAGTTATCAACTTTTACTATCCATTTTGAGCAATAAACAAATCTTAAAATTAACTCTGCAAATAGAGGATATCTCACTGGGCCTTATGTTGTGAGATCACCATCTCATGAATGACTTAGGCTAGGGGCAGTTTGTGTGCTGGAAGAAGCATCTAGTGGAAACCATTTGAAATCCCCCCCTTTCAAGATGTAATAGTTTCATTCATGGGCAATTTGTGGTTACAGAGAAATAGCTTTTTCAAGTTGAGTCCATCTTTTTGAAACACCCTGTAATGATCTGCGCCATGTGACAAATAAGTAGGGTGTGCTGCTGTTGTCAAGTAAACACTCAATTCCTGTTCTTATTTACTTCCACCTTCAACTCTAAACCATCACATTACACGCACTTCTTTGCCATTTAGGCAAAGTACTTTTCTGCGTTATGAGTTTGGTTTTCTTCCAAGAGTCAGGGTTATCTGTTTTTAATAAGCTGAAGTTAGAGGAGGACTTTCATTTCTTATATGTATAATATTTACTTCATGATTCATTGTTCAGATATTTAGTTGCCCTACAAGGTGTCGCAGGATTCCTTGTTCAGTCTGTTGGTATCCCCCAAAAATTGCCAATGTGTATTTCCATTAATCCTGTCGAAAACAGTGCAATTAACAGAGTGATTCTAAAAACTAGTCCTGTCCTATCTTGCTAAATCAGAAGGCAGGTCTAGTATATTATCTCAGTGTTTGTGTGTACCTTCATAGTCTAATTTTACAGTGTTGTATTTCCCAGCTAATTATTCATATTTCTTTGTAAAATCTCTTTGTGTGGTCATACCATCTTCATTGGAGAAATGCAATAATTTTTGTTAATACGCAGAACATAGAGCATGTTTAATGTATTGTCGAAGGCTTTCATGGCCGGAATCACTGGGTTGTTGTAGGTTTTTCCGGCTATATGGCCAAGCATTCTCTCTTGATGTTTCGCCTTTATCTATGGCAGGCAACCCCCAGTGGTTCAGTGGGTTAAACTGCTGGGCTGTTGAACTTGCTGATGAAAAGATCAGCGGTTCGAATCCAGGGAGTGGGTGAACTTCCACTGTTAGGCCCTGCTTCTGCCAACCTAGCAGTTCAAAAACATGCAAAGGTGAGTAGATCCATAAGTACCACTTCTATGGGAAAGTGACAGCTCTCCATGCAGTCATGCTGGCCACATGACCTTGTAGGCATCTATGGATGCCAGCTCTTTGGCTTAGAAATGGAGATGAGCACCCCCCCCCCCCCGAGTCAGAAATGGCTAGACTTTATGATAAGGGGAAACCTTAATGTCTTATAAATGCATATAGGACCCTGCTCTATAATGTCTTTTAAATCAGTGCTTTTCAGGTAATCTGATGATGAGCTGTTTTATTTCCTGATTTGTTTGTGCATGCTTTCCAAGCTTCCTGTTGACTTACGGTAACCCTACAATTTTCATACAGTTTTCTTAGGCAAGGTGTATTCAGAGATAAGCAGTCTAGAGCACCTTATTTTCTCTGGCATTCCTCCCTCCAAGTACTAACTAAGCCTGACTGTTATCTTTTAAAATTAAATTGGATAAAGTTCTCTTCAGGCACTGGTAACAAATTTGTGTCCACTGGCTACAAGTGTTTCTTTCTTTCCTGGTCCATGCAGTCCTGAAGTAATCCACTCCAAACACTATTTTTATGGTTATGTGCCTTCAAGTCCTTTCCAAGTTATGCTGAACTGAAGGCAAACTGATCACAGGCTTTCCTTGGCAAGATTATACTTAATGGTTTACCCACTGGCCTTTCACCAGGGATATACGTAAAATTGATGCTAAGGCTGTAATTTCATACCTGGGTGTTAGCTCCATTCAGAACAGTACACATGCTTCTATTTAAACATATTTGGTATAGGATTGTTTTGCAAGTCCACGTCAATGATTACAGCTCAAATTCTTTCCCCTCACCAACTATCACACACCTGTAGAGCTGTTTAGTATAATTTTAAAATACAGTACAACATGGGCTGTATTAGGAGTTGGAAGTAAAATGAAGTATGCATGCCCCTTTTGAGGGATATATGTGTTGTGCACACTCATATAAATATACAGTATATTTCTGTTTAATAAAATTCAGATTTCACTATATGGTATTGGAATACTGTAAATTTACAATTTAAATTTGAGGCTTTATAAGTTTTTCCATGATATCAAATTCAAGTTTGGGCAGACGGTGTTGCATAATAATTATGCCAGCCTGTTATTTATCATAGTGATTTATGTGTTCTTGAAATTCTGCCCAAATGCAAAAAAAAGAAGGCATTTTTATTAAGGCATATAGCAGGGCTCAAGGCAACAAAACTTCTGAAAGAGCAATCTTCATTTCACCTTTTGCAGGACATATTTTGGTAGGATCTTTTTGGATTCCCAATTTCAACTCATTCTTGCTAGATGTTTTTTGTGTCAATCTCTCAAACATAGTTGGGAAATGTGTGATCCTCCAATATTGTTGACTTGCATCTTCCATTATCTCTCTATGTTGACTATACTGATGAGAATTGATGGGTGTTTCTGCCAGAAGGTGCCCATCCCTGCCTTCAAATATGATGCTCAACACAAATATTGATACATTGTCTAGCCCGGCTTGTTTGTTTGTGTCTTTATTTATTTATTTATTTATGTCATTTCTACCCCGCCTTTCTTTACCCCGGAGGTAACTCAAGGCGGCTTACAAGTAGACAACCATATGAAGCCATAGAATATATACAATTACAAATATATAATCAGAATTATAAAATACATTAAAACAGTTTAAAAACGTATAAAACAATACATTAAGAGTTAATCACATGATCCATTAAACATAGTCCGGCCGTTCCAGATAGTCAGTGCACATCAGTTCCATATCTTTCTATTTCTCAAGTTTTCCCAATGCTTGGTCACAAATCCAGGTTTTTACTTTCTTATGGAAGGTCAGGAGAGAGGAGGCTAATCTGATGTCCCTGGGGAGGGAATTCCACAGCTGGGAGGAGGGCACTACTGAGAAGGCCCTGTCTCTCCTGCGAGGAAGGCGGGACCGAGAGCAGGGCCTCCCCAGGCAATCTTAAACTCTGAGATGGTCCATAGGATGAGATACGTTCAGACAGGTACACTGGGCCAGAACTGTTTAGGGCTTTATAGGCTAAAGCCAGCACTTTGAATTGTGCTCGGTAGCAGAACTGGCAGGTAGTGGAGCTGACGTAACAGGGAGGTGGCTTGCTCCCTGTACGCCGCTCCAGTGAGCAACCTGGCTGCCACCCGTTGGACCAATTGAAGCTTCAAACAGTCTTCAAAGGCAGCCCCACATAGAGTGCATTTTGCTTTTGCTGAGAACCCATTTACCTCTTTTGTGGTGCTTCTGTTTCTTGAGTCATGGCAAAATAACAGCAATTATTAATACCAAACTGCATTATAAGGAAATTCTTCGGTGGCACATCTTGGGTCAATAAAATATTTTAACTTGATCTCTCATAGACCAAACCACATTCCTTTTCTTCCACCTACACTTTGTGCTATTACTTACCTTAATGTTCTGGACATTTTCTCCTCAGCTCTGTCCAGGCTACAGCTATTGTTAGGATTGTGTGTATATAGAAAGTTCTTACTCTGTACTGATGATATTGTTATGATTATT